TTCATTCTTTAAATCGAGAGGGAGAAAAGAATTCCTCAGTAGGGCATGCTCACCCTGCAAGTCCTTCTCCACTTTTCTACCCTGTCGGGATTCGGCGCACCCATGCACATGCACATAATGTTTTACAAGCTGCTGGGCTAGGATTCAAGCCAACGTTAGACGTGAGGGACCCAGCTCACCTAACCACTAGACCACTTGGCCACAGGCCCAGTTCTTTTTTATTGCCAGATGGTGGGAGAGAGAGAGAGAACCTTCCCCCCCGCCCCTCAATGGAACATGGTCACTCTGCAGTCCTTTTTCTTCTGTTTCTCCATCCTGTCAGGATTTGTAGTACACACATATGTGCTCAGCAAGTTTTGCAAGCTTCTAGGCCAGGACTAGAACTGGGGTCAACCATGTTTGAATGTTAGGCTCTGGCTCCCTATGCACAGGGCTTAACTGTTGCATTATGTTCCTGGTCCACATTCAAAATTCTTTTTTTTTTAGAGTTTTTGTTTGTTTGTTTGTTTTTGTTTTTTGTTTTTTGCTACAGGGCGCCTACTACGCTGGTCAGAAAGAGAGAGACAGACAGAAAGCGAGAAATCACCCCCCAAGGAGGATGGCCATGTCGCAATCCCTTCTCCTCCATTCTCCTCTTGGGATCTTGGGCACACACACACACGCACCCAACGTGAGTTTAAGCCACTGCATCCAGGACTTGAACCGTGGTCGACTACATGGGAGTTCAGTGACATAGCTAATATGCTAACTGCTGGTCCCAACATTCAATATTCTTAAGTAAGTTTTTATCACTGGTAACTATGTAGCAACAACTTAGGGAAAAGTTGCCTAGATCTGGTGACCAGAGAATGTGTTACACTGTAGGACATGGAGCAGAATATCAAAATAAATTGCAAGTGAACAAGTGACTCACTTCATTGAAAGATGTATCACTTGAGACAGAGTCAAAATTTAGGAATTTGCTAATAGTCAGGCCCATCCTTTCCTCAATCTCTAAATCTATAATGGGTCCTGCCTGGCATGCTTACCTGTGGTCATACTAGCCTGGCCTTGATCTGAGACCCTTTCCCAAGAAGGGTCTTGGGGACAACTGCTTTGCCCTTTTCGGCCTCCACCTCAACTCCCAGCCGGCTCCATTATACAGCTTCAATCTGCACACCAGTGTACATGGTGGATGATCAGGGGAGTTTTGAACAAGTGATTTGATGAGTGAATAAATGGGCCAGCTGAAACAGGGCACTCCATACCACGGAAAGGCAAAGCCGTGATCTAAGCTAACGCTCACTTTGTGCTAGCTCTGACTGCTCAGGATGAATCCCACAGAGGACCCTGGGCACTTGATATTTTAGAAAAACAAGAAAAACCTGAAGCGGTGCCCAGTCCTGACTGCTTACTACTAGAGCTATATGCTCTGGGAGGCTGAGGCAAAGCAGTGAGGAAAGTGGCATCGTGGAGACCTTTCGGTGCTAGGCCTCGATGTACACACCCCAACTACTGTCTTGTTTAGTCAGTCATCTTATGAGGCAGACATTGCTGTGTACCTGTGCCCAGTCCTGACTGCTTACTACTAGAGCTATATGCTCTGGGAGGCTGAGGCAAAGCAGTGAGGAAAGTGGCATCGTGGAGACCTTTTGGTGCTAGGCCTCGATGTACACACCCCAACTACTGTCTTGTTTAGTCCTCAGTCATCTTATGAGGCAGACATTGCTATGTGTACCTCTTGGCTAGGGAAACTGAGGCTCAGAAAAGTCAAGCAATGGACACAAGGTCATGTAGCGCAAGAGGCAGAACTGAGAACTGAAGCCAGCCCTGATTACACAGGTCCTCCTTGAACTGTTGCACAATCCTGCCTGGGGCTGGTAGGGAGGTGGGGCTCAGGAACCAGGGCAAGAGCCCAAAGCCCAAGGGGAAAAACACTCTTGGCTTGACTTGTTATGCTACAAATTTTAATATGTCTTAGGAGGCATATATGCTAAATCATTCATTTCTCTAGATCAGGGACCTACAAACTAAGGGCTTTGATTCAGATTAGCCCAGTCTGATTCTCTGAAGTTTTCACATCCATATTTGTGTATTGCCTATGGCTGCTTCATGCTACACAGCAGAGTAGAATAGTTGAAACAGACACTGTGGCCTGTTGTAGAAAATTTGCTGATCACTGATCTAGATGAAAACCCATAGGACCTTCTGTATGGAACCATGTGATTCCATCTCCTGAGGATGCGTGAGCCCACCACAGGGGTGCCATCTGTTTCGTCCAGACCCAAATGTTTGAGCCAAGGTCAGCAAAGTTCTATGATTTGATGTTAAAGACACTATTGATCTATCAGATATGCAATATCATCTCATATATATTTTTTTTCTTTTCTTTGGTCCTGCAGATATCGTATTCAGAGTTTAGACTGTTTTGAAACTGAAATCCCTATTTTTTTTTTTTTTTTTTGCATTGTTCATGGTCTGGGTAGTTTTCCTCTATTTCTTTGACAGTTTGTGAGCTCAATGAAGGCATAGACACATATTCAGGACTTTTGTATTCTAGGTTCTCCCTTCACCTTTACAGAGAAATCCTGAACAATGCAGAATTTATGAACCAAGGGAAGTCTTGGAGCTTTAAGTAGCTGATAAATATTTTCATCTTCTGGTGATGAAAATTAACAGGTACTGATGCTTACCAAGCTCCAGGGAAAGTGCTAAGTGAGGGACCAGGACTCTCTGGTGAGCACACGTATCCTACAGAAAAAAATCTCTCAGGAAAAAAAAAAAGTGCTAAGTGCTTTATATTGCCTCATTTAATCCTCTCAACCACCCTGAGCTTAGACACTAAATAACCACATTTTACAGTTGGAAAAACTGCCTTTCTAAGGCAACATCCCATGTCTCTCAGACAAGCCCAAATTTGAACCCGAGCCATCTGAGCAGTCTGAGCACTCTCGAGCCATTTGGGAACGCTGCAAAGATACAGAAAGAATACCACATCAAATGAATATTGCAAATGATAAAAGAATGCCTGCCATGACCCCAAGCATATAGCCAGCTAGACTCAGGGTGGACTTTGGAACTTTCAGTGGGAACAGGGACTGCACTAGCTATATTTCCATGACATGCACAGGTGCACCACTCGGGGAGTCTTTCCAGTGACCAAGATGAGACAGTGGGATGAACATGGTTTCTGTTTGTTCTTGAGGTGAACCAAGAGCTCCACTTGGGATGTTAGCTTGCAGAATCCCACTGGAGATATGTTAAGTAGGAATCTGAATCCACTTACCTGTACTCTGGGCTTGAAGTCCCAGACTTGGGACTCACCAGCCCGAGACATGGTTGATGAACACAAACTGGTTTTGGCCCCTGTAGGACAGACCATGCACAGTATCAAATCACACCTTTGTTCCTATGACGCCATCACGTATACAGCAGGAGGGGTTTCATGTGACCATACCATGGGTCCTTTGTTCCGTTATGAAGAGCAATAGTGATGAAATATCTTATAAATTAGTGGATGCTATGTGCCAGCATGGCACTGGGTGCTGGAGATACAGGGAAAGGAGACAGCCACTGTGTTCGGGAAATGCCATGAACATCCAGGAGAACCTATGCGGCACTGGAATCAGGGTCCCTCAAGCTGTAACCAAATGCCAGAAGATTCCAGCAGCTCATCTAGAGAACTCATGTAGAAAATTCGGCAAATGAGGGACCAGCAGTTAGCATAATGGCTATGTTGCTGGACTCCCACGTAGTCGACCACGGTTCAAGTCCCGGACCTGGTGGCTTAAACTCATGCTGGGCGTGTGTGCATGAGTGCCCAAGATCCCGAGAGGAGAATGGAGAAGAAAGGATTGTGGCATGGCCATCCCCCGTGGGGAATGATTTCTTGCTTTCTATCTCTCTGTCTCTGTCTGGCAAGCGCACATGCCCTATAGCAAAAAAAAAAACCTCTCCCCCCCCAAAAAAAAATAAAAAAGAAAAGAAAATTCAGCAAATGGTAGGATCCCAGCTACAGTATATTCAGTCATTTTTTAGTTAAGTCAAATTTACTTTATGGAGTTGTCATGTATGATGTGGACAATGACAATCCAGAAAATTTCAATCTTGAGAGACAGTTATCAATTGAGGCCTGAATTCCACTGCCCTGTCAAGAACTAAGGGTGGCTCTCCCTCCCCTCCTCATCCAGACCACAGTGATCAACCTGACACATACCTGAGACCCTTTCTCCAGCCAATGGAAAGACTTCTCCAGGGAAAAGTGACCCACCAGTGGCTTCCACCTTAGTGCTGGCCTATAACTTCTCTCCCAGGATCTAGATAAAATTAGGATTGCCAGGTAAAATACTGGAGATGTATTTTCATCTGCTAACTCTGGTTGACATAAGTCAAATACCTGTCTCTTAATTCACCACTTATGTTCCCAAGTTCAGACACTGTTGGGATTGTATGCTCTTACTAAAGTAAGAAAATGTGTACTTATCAAAGTGAGAAACTGTGCTGATACATTTCAGGGAGACTTTTGGTTAGAACTGAATTCTAAAGGACTTTTTTCACTAATTAGCATGTTCCACTCTGCTGGCATATGATTGAAATTTTTCTGTATGTGAGGTTTCTAATAGTTACTCTTCAATCTGAAGTGTCAATAGAACAACTTAATCATAGCAACATTCCTATTATGTTTAAAGTTTTGAATTTGCTCAACCTGAAACATTTACACCTTACACCTTCCAACAAAGTATGTTCGCTGAGAAGGCTGCTCATTCTTGAATACTCTCTCCTACAACTCTGGGAAAATCTCATTCCTTTTAGGCCAACTCAGCTGTCACCTGTACTTTGAAACCTTTCAGATGTTCCCTCCCCTGCCCCATTCTACAGCCCTCCCACAAGCATAATCTGTTACTCCCAGTTATGATATGATCACAGACAACATTATTCAAACTCTAATATGGCAGTCAAAATAGCAAAAGTAACAAACATTCATTCAATCATACGCTATTAGATTCCTATATTCATTCTGCAAATATTTATTATAAAATAGTGTGTCTGGCTCCATACCAGACACTGGGAATACAACAGTGGACAGATAGGGGCTGCCCTTATAATGCAAAATGTAAGCTACAAGCAACCTATCCCTGTCTAGTCTACTATCCGCCTTTCAACCTGGCAAGATGTGAGAACACAGAAGGCTCCAGATGGGTGACTGGACAGATGGTGTGCATCTTCTGATTTGAAGAACACAGAAAAAGGAACAGGAGACAAAGTGAAAAGTAACACGGGAGATACACAACAGTTACACCTATGGGTCTGAAATGTAAGAAAAAAGTCTGACCTGAAAAGGAGATGGCGACTCTTCTCAGAGAGCGTTGTGTGACTTCCAGTGCCACGTGATACCAGACTATGAGGTACAGTCAGAAACAGAACAAGTACAATCAGATCTAGTAAAAAGTTCAGGAGATTGAAGTGACATAAAAGCACAAGAAGCTAAGATGGAGAGCTGTATTTCTAAATTCAGAATGCCATTGACAGTTCAATATATATGTCAAAAAAATAGAATTATCATCAAATGTGCACAACATAATGTAATGTTCAACGTTGAATAAGATGAATATGTACATCCATAATTTAATTACACAATGTATGCATTCTTTCAAAAAAAATACCATATCCCACAAAGATGTACAATGATTTTATAGATACCAGAAATCATAATTTTAGAAAAAAGAATTTAGATCCACCCTACATGGTAGCACTAAGATTTAGAGGGAAGAGGCCCTCTTAGATGAGATTAGTCACATTTAGAAAAGTATTACATTAAAAAGGCAAGTCATTCCCTAAATAGAGTGATTCACTGATTCTGAACAAGTGTTCACAGATCATCTTTCTAACTATAAATTTAACCTCTTAAGCGACAAGGACACTAAGGAATATACTTTTCTGTACAGATAACCAACTGCATGAGTGTGAGAACCAAATGCCTCCCTTATAAACACATCTTGTAAGTCATTCATCTAGTCCCTTGTCCATTCCTTAATGTTTACTGAATCCTTGCTCAGGGTTGGGGGATACAATCAGGATAGAAGTTCCTGCCTTTCACATTGTGATGGAAGAACAGAAAAACACATAAGCAATTAAAATGCAGTGAGGCAAGTATTATAGAAGTTAACATTGATTGTAGGAAGCGATAAACTTCAGGTTTCTTTCTGCAAAGTTGAGGACCATACTTTGGCCTAAACTTTCTTCCTTCCAGTTTTCAATTTTTATCACTAGAATACTCAACAATCCCCTTCATGAACTACATGTGAGGTTTTAAAAATAGAACATTCTATGCCAGGAAACTATGCTTTCTTTCCTTTAACTTGCAGATAATAATACTTAACAGAATTCACTTTTAAATTTACAGCAAAAAGTATACTTGAACTTATCACTAAAATACTTTTATTATTTTTTCCTTCTTAAATTTCTTTGCTGTCCCGATGCCTTCTGGTTCTTATTTTCTTGATGCAAACAGTATCCTTATCCTGTTTGGGAAGAAAAATATATTTCTTAAGCAACTTAAAAGAATAATTTTTGTTATCAACACTATACTGCAAACCCCAGTTTCTTATAAGATTGTGTGGATCCTTAATTATAAAAAATTAATTTTGAGTTTGAAAATATGTTGTAAGATATATCCCATTAAAGTGGCTTTTTCTTAATTATAATTGTTTTTAATATTTTGTTTTTAAAATTTAAATACTATACAGTTTTACATAAAAGTTTCTAATGTATCTTTAAGCTAATACATAATTAAGAAACCAAAATTTCTCCACCATTGTAGACATTTTCACTAATTAAAAAAATGTCACTCACAAAAAAGTGAATTCAACCAGGATTAAATCTTTTGGGCCTCCTAAACTGAACTATCCCTTTTAAGGGGAAAAATCAGTCAAAATTAAGTATGACCTAAGACCTTCTAAAACGTGTCCTCTAACTAAGGCAGTGTCTCCTGCCGAGTAGCTAAAGGGTGGAAGTTCATCTATCTGGACATTTCGATTAACTCTGAAAAAATACACACACTGAAAACAAGAAAAAGATGTTCACAGCACTAGCCCCTACAGTATATCCCACTGTCCTGTCATGATAGTCTGTCCTCAGCCTGAATATTACATACCATGTACAAAACAATACTTGCCTTTCTTTTATTTATTTTTGAGAGATTTTTGCGCTAGGGCACATGTGCTTGCCAGAGAGAGAGACAGCGACAAATCGCCCCCTGGGGGCATGGCCACACATCAATCCCTTCTCCTCCATTCTCTTCTCTGGATTTTAGGCATGCATGCACATGCACCAGCTTTGAGTTTTAAGTCACTGGGTCCAGGGCTCGAACCTGTTGACTATGTAGGAGTCTAGTACCTTAACCACTATCCTACCTGCTTGCCCCAATAATACTTAAGTGATACTTTCTTTTCTCATAAATAAGAGAATGAATATACTTATCTTCACCTTAGCCAACCTTTTTGGGTCTGCCCTTTACTTTCACAATCACAGTTTATTATCTCTTATGAATAAAGGAGTAAGGAAATGAAGTTGACAATGTTGTAAACTACTTTTTCAAAAATATAACATCCATGGGGCTGGCAGCTGGCATGGTGGTTGAGGCTCTGGACTCCCACATGGCCAACTATGGTTCGAGTCCTGGACCTAGAGGCTTGCTTTTTTACTTTCCCTCTGTTTGTCTCTCTGATCAAAAAAACAAAACAAAACAAAACAAAACAAAAATTAAATAAATAATAATTTATATATACATATATATCCATCCAAATGGGCATTTTGTAGGCTAGAACCAAAGTCAACAGGCGGACACTCAGTTAGAATGCAGTACTTGAAGGCGAGTTGGTGGTGTGGTTAATGCTATTGGATCCCAGAAGGCCAACTGCAAAGTTTGAGTTCTGGACCCAGGGGCCTGAAAAGCACACTGAGCATGTGCTTATGTGCCCAAAATCCTGAGAAGAGAGATGGAGAAGAGATTGTGGCACAGCAATCTTCCCTTGAGGGTGATTTCTTACTTTCTCTCTCTCTCTCTCTAGTGAGTGCACATGCCCTGTAGCAAAATTAAGAAAAAGAAAAAGAACGCAGCACTTAAGAAAACATTATCAGTGTGAGTTAGTGTGCCTCCTGGGAGCTTATGAGTGATATGACACCTGAATGCCACAGAGAGAACACATCAGGTGTAGGTCCTCATTGGGGCCTGGTTGTCCCTCCAAGTTAAAGGAATATTTAAGTTCTTCATTTTCATTTTGGCAAAACATTATTTTTCCAAACTATGAGTTCTTTAATTGTTTAGAGCTGGAATTTTATTTTAAAATTAGAACATGTGGTAAACGTGTTAACTCATATCAGGCCTTTTATATTTCTGGTATTTGGTCTCTAGAATCATGTCTTAGCGCTACCAGGTATCTTCTGCTTCCAGCCAGCCACTAGTACAATTTGACTTATGACATCTGTATGGCATGGATCTGCTTCTCTGATTCTCTCCTCCCTCTTTCTAGAATATTCTAACAGTATCGCCCCACTATGACTTCCTTTCCACCATCCAGCAACATGAGTCCTCCTGTTCAGCTTCTTTCCTTATTGTATCATATATTGGAGACATCTGGGACTCTGGCTCTTCTTCACAATCTCAGTTCAAGCTTCCTACCTTGTTCTTTTAGCATTTATTTATTTGTTTATTTTCATACATTCAATCACTGCCTAGCTTGTTCTATTAGATCATCAGGAAAGCCATGATGTATTTTTCTGTTACCCCCCAAGCAAAAATGTGTCATGAATTTCATGACGACCCAATATGAACAACCCTGATTGCCAGAATTATGTATATGAAGAGGTTGTTGCTACATTAGTTTTATTTGCTGAACACAGAATACAGTGGTTTTGGTTCTAAATTTTGCATAAGAATCAAATTTAGGGCCAGCAGATGGCATCTTGGTTGAGGCATATGGTCAACCTCAGTACAAGTCCCAGACCCAGCAAGTTGCTTTTCCCTTTCCCTTTCACTCTTTCTCTGATAAGCACATGTGCCCTATATGAAATTTTTAAAAATGATAATAAGGTGCTAGCAGGTGGCACAGTGATTAAGGCACTAGACTCCTATGTGGTTAACTGCATTTGGAGTCCCAGATCTAGCAGCTTGAAACTTACAACGACCACATGTATGTGTGTGCCCAAAATCCTGAGAGAGAATGGAGAAGGGATTGCGCATGGCCATTCTTCCAGGTGGTTGATTTCTCCTTTTCTGTCTCTGTCTCTCCAGTGAACATACACACCCTATAGCAAAAATCTCTCCCTCAAAAAAATAATGGGACCAGCAGTTGGCATAATGGCTGTTGCTGGACTCCTGTGTAGTCAACTGTGGTTCAAGCCCTGGACCTGGTGGCTTAAACTCATGCCAGGTGCATGTGCGTGCATGCCCAAGACCCCGAGAGGAAAGTGGAGAAGGGATTGCGGTGTGGTCATCCCCCCCTTCCCCGGGGGGGGGGGGAGTGATTTCTCGCTTTCTCTCTGTCTCTCTCTGTCTTTCTGGTGAGCACACACGCCCTATGGCAAAAACCTCTCCAAATAATAATAATAAGCACAATTAAATAATCTTTTTTAACATCATTTATCATTTATTACTTTAATTTGATGAGAGAGGGACAGAGTGAGCGAGAAAGTCAGAAAGAAAGCCACTCGGTTCAACACTCGAACCATGGTCAGCCATGTGGGAGACTAAGCACCTTTAACTACCACATCACCTGCCGACCCCAAAATTAAGTAATTCTTTAAAAAAAAACCCTCAAGTTTATACCACTCACAAAATGATTACAATCGAAGCTTTGTTTTAAACTAGCTAAATTAAGTATTCTTCAGAAGAATACTAATTGAATTTAACCATGGATTATGGATTTATTCATATTACAGATCACTCATGAAATGCTAAATTTGAAATGACTTTAGTAACACCTGCAGTATTTTAGCTTAGATACTCTTTGTTTGAGGGGAGGGTGAACTGATATGAGCCTCATCCTACTGACTAGAATCTCTTACAAAAGTCATGATGTGTTTTTCTATGGTTTCTATGCACAAATGTGTCATGACTTTCCTGATAACCCAATAGTTGGGTTGATGCATTTTTGCATAGAAACTATAGAAAAATACATGTCACCAATGTTTATTTTTGCTTTTTAAAGAACTCCCTGAGAATTTGAACATGACCAGCTTTTTTCTTTAGTAAGTTTTGTTAACTTGAGAGAGTCTGAATCTATCTACCTGTAATAAGCAGTCAGATAGTAACTAGATAAATGCCTAGGTCTTCCCGAACAGTCTTCATAATGTGAATTTACACTTTGAAAATGGAACTCACAAAGCAGAAATAATAAAATAAAGCTAAAAATGACAAATTATATGATAGAAATTAATGTTTCTTACACTAGTATAACTGGGAGTTGGCAGTAAGGCATTATACATGTTTTTCATTTGTCTTTGTAATATTGGGCAGAATTATATCAAAGCATTCTGTTTTTAAACAAATAGTTCATTACCTCTTTTGGATTTTCTGCATGTCGCTTAGTACTCCGAGGTACTCTCTGCTCAGATTTACTTTCCAAAGTGTTTACTCTAGGCTCAATTTTAATCTGTCTTGATCTCAAACACTTGAAGTTTGAATTTTCTGTTACTGCTTTCTCTTTCTGAGTCATGGCAATTTTCACAGTTTTCTCCTTTTCTTTCTCCTCTTCTGTATTAGGCTGGGGTATCTTCTTCTGTCTTCCGGATCTCAAGCACACTCTGTTTTCACTGACTTTGCCCCTGGACATAGGTTTCTTGGCTGCATCCTCTGGGTTTTGTAGCTCCGTCTCTTGGGAGGTCTTTATTGACTTTCCTTTTCCCTTTATTTTCATCTTTTCTGCTGATACAAGAAACTCGGGCCTTTGCTGTTCTACATTGGTTTTAGTTTGGCGTCTGGTACGCAGGAACATCCCCTAAAGAAATGAGAAAATATCCACAAAATTCCATTACTGAGTAAAACAAATCTTGAAATTCAACAGGGAGAAAAAAAACAATCAAAGCAAACTAAAAGGAGAAATAATCTGAAAATTTTGCATTGATTAATTTTCTAAGATATTAGTCATCTGAGATATTAAAGTAATACCTTGCCATTTGGTTCATTTGGAGAAATGATCATGTCTACTGAATTATAAATAAGGGATGTGGGATAAATTTCAATCAGAATGATCAATGCAATAGAGGGTCTTCAAAAAGTTCATGGAAATGCATGTTAGGAAAAATTATGCATGAATGTTCCATTCTTTTTTTGTACCAAGCAAACGCATACTTAATTCCACTTTCCACAAAACTTTTTAAATCCCCTTGTATGTCAAATCTTATTACAGTTTACATTATAGAAAGATATCTCCTTATATAGGCAAATGAATTTCTAGTTCTTTAATAATGACTGCTAAAGCAGAACAGGAAATCTCCATTTCTCAAATTTTCTGACTTCTCTGGATGTAGCAGTAACCTATTTAAAGAGTCCTAACAGAATACTCTTCCCAAGGATACACACTCACTGTTACCATTGTTCTGATTATTAAAACACTGATGCATATGTTATTTTAAGACAGTCCTGAGCTTGCTCTGATCAATTTTCCAAACATTTGAGGATGAACCTAACATTTGGTTCTTGGGAAACTCCTCTTAGAAAAGCTCCTAGTTATCATTCGATTAGCTATTTTCCCAAGTTACTTTATCCTCTCTAGAAATCATGAAAGGATTCTTTCCCACAGCCTATAATCATTTCATGTGCTGAATGGAAACTACTTTGGGGAAGAATGTGCACTAATAAATTCAGGTTATATACAAATTATTGTATAAAATTGATAACATCAATCCAAGATGACACTTAGTGATTATGTAATACTTTCTATCACCTTATCTGGAGTGATCAAGTCTTCTACTGTGTGTTCTTTCTCTTCAGTTTTCAAGTTGTTGCTATTCGGATCTTCCACAGGTTGAGTTCTTTTTTCAGAAATTCTCAGACGTTTTTTTTGTATCACCAAGGGCTCAGGTGATTTGCATCTCTTTCTGGATTCAGTCCTCTGCCTCTTATTAATGGAATTCTCCTCTACAGTTTTCTGTGGAGTAGTCAGCCAGCATACCCTTTTGGTTCCTGTAACACGTCCATCTTTTCCACATTTCTGCTTAGGAGTTAGGGAAGTGTCACTTTTGCTCTGTGATTTTACAGGGTCTCTAGTGTCCATGGGTTTCACCTTAGGGGCCCGAAGGACTCTAGTGAGTATTTTTAGAGGTTTCCCTTTATTGGGTGTTTGCTTTGCAATGCTTTTGAGATTATCAGCATCATTTCTTAGTTCCTCAGCCTGATGTGGGGGATGGGTAGCTTCTCTGAAGCCAACCAAGTCTTTTAGGGGTAAGGTCTTTTCTTTATGTGTCTTTGGCCTTCTCTTGCTGCCAGTTAAATTTTCAGATGTGTCCAGTTTCTGCTTTGCAGATTCCTCAAACACTTTTAAGCCTTTATCATCACCTACTGCTTTGTGTGTGTGCGTGATTTTCCCTGTTTCTTTTTGTTTTCTTAGTGCTGAGATATCTTTTTCCATAACCACTTTCCCCACAGATGTCTTGAGCTGTCGCTTTGGGATTGTTGGAGTGTTCGCTGATTCTAGGTGTGCAGATTTGCAGGGCATTTCACTGGTTTTGCCATCAGTTACTGATTCCTCAGAGTGGCCTACTGATTGGAAGAGATCTGTGAAGTTAGTCACGCCTTTTAGAGTTTGGGTGGTTTCCTTTCGTGTTCTTAGCCGCCTCTTGATGGGAGTTACATTTGTTGCTGGATCTAGTTTCTGATTTGCCAATTCCTTAAAAGATTTGAGGCATTTATTATCACCATCATGTACTCTGCGGGTGCGTGTGGTTTTCCGTGTTGTGTGTGTGAGCTCCCTGATGGCAGAGAGCTCATCTTTCACAACCACTTTTTTCTGCAAAGATGTCTTACACCTTCTCTTGGTGTTTGATGAGGTGTCCACTGGTTCTAAAGGTTTATAGGGTATTTCAGTAATGTTTTCATCAGTCATTGATTCCTTGGAGTGATGTGGTGTCTGGAAGAGCTCTGTGAAGCCAGACAAGTCTTCTAGGGGTTGGGTCTTTTCCTTAGGTGTTCTTGGAGATCTCTTATGTCCACTCAAATTTTCTTTCAGGTATGGTTTCTGTTTTGGAGTTTCCATTGATGCTTTGTTGCCTTTATGACCACTTACTGGTGCTTTTGGAGCATGCGTGGTTACCTCTGATATTTGCATGAGCTTACTGACTGCTGAGAGCTCTTCTCTCACAACCACTTCCTCCAAAGATGTCTTGCATCGTCTCTTTGTGCTTGTTGGGGTGTCCACTGATTCTGGTTGTGTAGATTTGCAAGGTAGTTTAGTAATTTTTTCATCAGTCTTTGATTTTTCAGGGTGATCTGGCGTTTGGAAGAGCTCTATGAAGCCATCCAGGTCTTCTAAGGGTTGGACCTTTTCCTTAGGTGTTCTTGGCCGTCTCTTAAATACATTTAAGTTTTCTGCTGCATCCAGTTTCTGCTTTGCAGTTCCCACAGATGCTTTAAATCCTTTAACATTACCTACTGGTGCTTTTAATGCATGAGTGGTGTCCTCTGATAATCGTGTGAATCTCCTGATTGCTGAGAGCTCTTCTTTCCCAATCACTTTCTCCAAAGATGTCTTGTGCCGTCTCTTTGTGCTTATCGGGGTGTCCAATGTTTCTGTTTGTACAGATTTGCAAGATATTTTAGCAATGTTTTCACCGGTCATTGATTCCTCAGAGGGTCCTGGTGTTTGGAAGAGCTCTGTGAAGCCAGACAAGTCTTCTAGGGACTGGGCCTTTTCCTTAGGTGTTCTTGGTTGTCTCTTATATACACTTACATTTTCTTCCAGGTCTGGTTTCTGCTTTAGAATTTCCATTGATGCTTTGGTGTCTTTATAATCACCTACTGGTGCTTTTGGAGTATGCATGTTTTCCCCTGACATTTTCATGAGCTTACTGACTTCTGAGAGCTCTTCTTTCACAACCACTTTCCCAACAGAAGTCTTTTGCCATCTCCTTGTTCTTATTGGGGTGTCCACTGCTTCTGGTTGTGCAGATTGGCAAGGTACTTTAATGTTTTCATCAGTCACTGATTCCTCAGAGGGACCTGGTGTTTGAAAGAGTTCTGTGAAGCCAGCCAGGTTCTCCAGGGGTTGTGCTTTTTCCTTAGGTGTTCTTAATGATCTCTTGTTTCCAGTTAAATTTTCTGCTGGATTTAGTTTCTGTTGTGCAGTTTCCACAGATGCTTTAAATCCTTTATCATCATGTACTGGTGTTTTTGGAGTATGGGTGGTATCTTCTGATACTCGTGTAAATCCCCTGATCTCTGAAAGCTTTCCTTTCCCATTTAGTTTCCCCACAGATGTCTTGTGTTGTCTCCTTGTGTTTGTTGGAGTGTCCATTGGTTCTAGTTGTGAAGGTTTGCAAGGTATTTTAGTAATTTTTTCCTCAGTCATTGATTCCTCAGAATGACCTGGTGTTTGGAAGAGTTCTGTGAAGCCAGACAAATCTTTTAGCGGTTGGGCCTTTTCCTTAGGTGTTCTTGTCTGTCTCTTACATACACTTACATTTTCTTCCAGGTCTTGTTTCTGCTTTGGAGTTTCCATTGCTGTTTCAATGCCTTTATGATCACCTGCTGGTGCTTTTGGTGTATGTGTGGTTCCTCCTGATGTTTGTGTGAGCTTACTGATTACAGAAAGCTCTTCTTTCACAACCATTTTCTCCAAAGATATCTTGCGTCGTCTCCTTGTGCTTGTTGGAGTGTCCATTGGTTCTAGTTGTGAAGGTTTGCAAGGTATTTTAGTAATTTTTTCCTCAGTCATTGATTCCTCAGAATGACCTGGTGTTTGGAAGAGTTCTGTAAAGCCAGACAAATCTTCTAGGGGTTGAGCCTTTTCTTTAGGTGTTCTTGTCCGTCTCTTATATACACTTACATTTTCTTCCAGGTCTTGTTTCTGTTTTGGAGTTTCCATTGCTGTTTCAATGCCTTTATGATCACCTGCTGGTGCTTTTGGTGTATGTGTGGTTCCTCCTGATGTTTGTGTGAGCTTACTGATTACAGAAAGCTCTTCTTTCACAACCACTTTCTCCAAAGATGTCTTGCGCCGTCTCCTTGTGCTTGTTGGGGTGTCCACTGCTTCTGGTTGTGTAGATATGCAAGATATTTTAGTAATTTTTTCCTCAGTCATTGATTCCTCAGAATGACCTGGTGTTTGGAAGAGCTCCGTGAAGCCAGACAAGTCTTCTAGGGGTTGAGCCTTTGCCTTAGGTGTTTTTCGCCATCTCTTACGTACACTTAAATTTTCTTCCTGGTCTGTTTTTCGCTTTGGAGTTTCCGTTGATGCTTCAATGCCTTTATAATCACCTACTGGTGCTTCTGGTGTACACGGGGTTAGCCCTGATGTTTGTGTGAGTTTACTGACTGCTGAGAGCTCTTCTCTCACAACCACTTTTTCCAAAGATGTCTTGCGTTGTCTCTTTGTGCTTGTTGGGGTGTCCACTGGTTCTAGTTGTGAAGCTTTGCAAGGTATTTTAGTAATTTTTTCCTCAGTCATTGATTCCTCAGATTGACCTGGTGTTTGGAAGAGCTCTGTGAAGAAAGACAAGTCTTCTAGGGGTTGGATCTTTTCCTTAGGTGTTCTTGGCTGTCTCTTACATACATTTAAATTTTTTTCTATGTCTGGTTTTTGCTTTGGAGTTTCTATTGATGCTTCGGTGCCTTTATGATCACCTACTGGTGCTTTTGGTGTATGCATGGTTCCCCCTGACGTTCGTGTAAGTTTACTGACTGCCAAGAGCTCTTCTTTCACAACCACTTTCTCCGAAGTTGTCTTGCGTCGTCTCCTTGTGCTTGTTGGGGTGTTCACTGATTTTGGTTGTGCAGATTTACAGGACATCTTAGTAATTTTTTCATCAGTCATTGATTTCTCTGAGTGACCTGGTGTTTGGAAGAGCTCTGTGAAACTGGCCAGGTCTTCTAGGGGTTGGGCATTTTCCTTAGGTGTCCTTGGCCATCTCTTGCTTCTAGTTAAATTTTCTGCTGGTTCCAGTTTCTGTTTTGCAGATATGTTAAATGCTCTGTTGTCTTTATCATCACTTACTGATGCTGCATGTATGTGCATGATTTCTTCTGATGTTTGTGTTATTCTCCTCAGTGCAGAAGGATCTTTCACATCTACTTTCCCAAGACTTATCTTGTGTTGTTTTTTTGCACTTGTTGGGGTGTTCAGTGGTTTTAGTTGTGGAGATTTGCAGGGTATTTTGGTTATTTTGTCACTAGTCATGGGCTCGTTGGTATATTTTGGTGTTTGAAATAGTTCTTTGAAGCTGGCTAGATTTTCTAGGGATTCAGTCTTTTCCTTCGGAGTTTTTGGCCACCTCTTCATTCCAGTTACAGAGTCTTCTGGGTCCAGTTTCTGCTTTGGAGTTTGCTTAGACACTTTGATGTTTTTATCGTCATCTCCTGATTCTTTGTGTGTCTGTGTGGTTTCCCCTGAGTCTGTGAGCATCCTGACAACTGAGAGCTCCTCTTTTACATCTACTTTTCCCAGAGGTGTCTTCAGCTGTTTTTTTGTGCTTGTTGGGATATTGACTGATTCTGGTTGTGAAGTTCTGCAGGCTATTTTGGTGGTTTTATACTCTTCTGCCATTGATTCCTCAGTGAGATCTGGTGTATGAAGGAAATGGCTATCTTGACTATCCACCAGGTGTTTCATCGATACTGTTTCATGGAACTTTTGAAGCATCAGGTCAGCTCTTGGTTCACATTTCAGCTCTGAAGTTCTTCTTGATCTCCTTAGAGCTGTCCTATTTTCAGAATTTTCTTTCGATTCAGTGTTTTTATTATATGTTTTAAAAGGTCTTTCATTTTCTTTCATCTTTTCCTCTGCTCTCTTTTCTTTTAGTGGTGTCTTCCTCAGACATCTTCCTAAGATATTCTCAACAGTATCAGTTTTTGTTTCTTCACTCTTACTTTCTATAGCTGACATCTGTATATTTCTGAGTTCCAGAGACTTTTCTAACTTGTTTGCATTGGAAATTGTCTTCAAAGTTTCTGTCTCAGAACCTGGAATTTTCACCTCTACATGAGTCATGTTATAGTTGTTTCTAGGAGTTGTCACCATATTTTCATTTTCTTTTATACACTGCTGTCTTAAGGGAGGGCTTGTAAAGTATTTATCAGATGGCTCTTTTCCTGCATTCTGAATGCTAGAGAATACATCTTCTCCTGCAAGAAATAAAAATATATATAATAAATAAACCTTATTCACTGTCTTATGCCAACTTAGTATTTCATCATCATAAAACATATATACTATAAAAACCAATAATCAGCTTCTTATCTACCTAAGGATATGAGGCTACTTATGTGGCCTTAAATCTGTCTTATTATGGGGAGCCATTATTAAGAATAATGTTACTTTGTAATACAATGTGGTTATCATTAAACAATAGTTAGAATATGTGATGTACAACATAAACTGAAAAAACATCCTTACAGAGGATCTTCTGAAATTTTCCAAGTATCAGTAACCTAATTTCAAGCATATATTTCATCCAACTTTAGAAAGAACTCATTATTGCCTTGAACTACCAATAGAACAACATGGCTTATATTGTGTATGTTTAGGGTCCACATTTTATGAGAAATATCTATCCACCTTTTAACTATAATAGGCATCTTCAGTGTATTAAGCTGTTCCATCTATGGCTGGAATACACTGACCAGCAACAAATGCGAGAGGTTTAAAACATTTACCTCCCCATGTCACACTCACTGGGGCCTGGTTCCCATTCAGAAGATTAGCAGGAACAATTAGACAATATATCATTTTCTTTTGTGAATTTGTAATAATTATGAATTTGAGTACTTTATATTAAAGTTTGATGAGAAACTATTGTACTTTTTGCCATGTCATCCTGTACATATAACACATAAAGAAATCAAAAGTGTGCATGGGTCATTTAAAATTGTTTTCTGAGTCTTTCTATGTATGTCAATGAATGCCAATATTACTTCAACTGCTGAAAAAAATCTGTTTAAAACAACAAAGCAGAAAGATGGGAATGATATTTTACCAGTAACGTATGTTGTAGAACAATAATACAATATTCGTTATAGAGAAATAATAATACCATCCTATAAGTTCTAGCCAGAAATAAACACAGTACTAGGAAAGAAGGAAACCAACCAATAAGCTCTGAAGTGGTAATCAGAGATTTTTCTTCTGAATTAGTTACTTCAAAGTTTTTCCCAGGTAAGTTTTCTGAATTTGAAACAGTGACAGAACATGTGCTCATCATTTGTGTTTTTTCCTTTACTGGAGTCTTGAACATTTCAGTAAGCCCTGTTAAATAAAAACATTTAAACATGTCACTTATATACAAAAAACCATCACAGTCCTTATACTGAACAAACCAAATGACGAGAATTAAAAATATACCTCCTAGAATTCCTGGTACACAAAGCCTAAGAAAATGGTGACTCCATTTTAATGTATTCATTTTATAAACAGAGAACAGAGAAGTTGTATTATGTTCTTTTCTTTGATTAGGAAGCCAACTAAAAATAGTCGATCTGTGTGGTCTTCCAAAATATACTCCAAACAGCTGTCAGGAGGACAGAAGCTAGTCAAGGGATCCTTTCTCTCTGGACCTTCTTTCTAGATATCTAGAAACCAAGTGCCCTCATGCTGTCTTCTATAAAATCTTGGCTTTCTCAATCCTACATATACATAAATAAAATGTCCTCTGATTGTAGAAAATGACAGAGAGCTGCCCATTTTTAGTACTGTCAAGTAATGGTATTTTTAAAAACCTAATATCATGGGACCAGCAGTTAGCATAATGGCTATGTTGCTCAACTCCCATGTAGTCGATTGCAGTTTGTGTCCAGGACCCAGTAGCTTAAAACTCACAACAGGTGCTTGTGCATATGTGCCCAAGATCCCGAGAGGAGAATGGAGGAGTAGAGATTGCAGTGTGGCCATCCCCCTGGGGGGTGATTTCTCGCTTTCTTTCTCTGTCGGGCGAGCACCTATACCCTATAGCAAAAACCTCTCCAAAAACAAACAAACAAACAAACAAACAAACAGAAAAACCTAATATCATAATCATTCCACCTTAACACCAAAAAAGTAGTAATGACATAATCTCAGAAACAAAAAGAAAAGAATGTGACACTTTATATGGAAGATTAAAGTTTCTGAAAACTTCATATTATCTCATGTTTTCTTTCCTTTTATCATTCTGGTACCAATGGAAGAAAATGTTTTAACAGGCAGCTATCTGCAAATGTGTTTGGAAGCCTACTGTGAAGGCTTTTCTCCAAACCAGCTCACTCACTTGAGGTGGAGTGGTGGCTAAGGAGCTGGACACTCTCGCATGGCCAACCACGGTTCGAGTCCCAGACCTGGTAGCTTGTTTTTTCACTTCCTCTCTCTCTCTGGTCAAATTAAAATGAATGAATGAATGAAAAATTAAATAAATAATTATTATAAAGGAAAGAAAATCCTCTCTTTCTACAGCCTTTCAGGCCTTAGTTAAAATTCCCAGGATTTAGTTTCAGCAATTACGGATGTTTTGTAATTAAAGTTACTCACAACAAAGGGTGAAAATTATCTGATTCTTGAGAAAAACATCTTAAAAAAAGAAATTCTTATAAAAACAAAACAAAAAAACAAAATACTATCTGAGACACTGAGTATTTATCATTTTAATTTTCTTTATCTTAAAAATATTCTGAGGATTTGTTTATAACATTTTGTAACATATATTGTAGTATATTTACACATGCTCATATTTACAAGCATATACATATATGTTTGTATATATTTTTATATATATTTTGTACATATAATACAAAATATGTATGTACATATATAAATATGTATGTACATATATACACAAATATATGTACATATACATATAAACACATATATACACAAACAAATATATTTATGTATCTCTACATTTTGGGAGTTTTTTGTTTCTGTTTTTGTTTTGTTGATTTTTTAAAAAAAGATAAATGAACTGATCCAAATTGACTATTTAGAGATAACCTTGTATGTATTATACTGAGGAGGAAACTTCCAATTCATAGTCTGTCAAGAAATAAAAAGATTACACCTATCCAGTTAAAAATCTTCCCACCTCGCTCTCAAATTATATATAATGTAAAACATTAGACAAATTACATGACACAAAATCTAAAATTTGCTTTCTTGCCATGGTTCTAATCTTCTACATTAACCAACTGAGGTAGTACACTTCCTGAAAGTAAGAATTGAATGGAACTATTTGCACAACTATTAGTGGTTTAAGGAAATGTTCTTATAGGATATACTTTCAAGAAATGGTCAAGTTACCAAGAAAGTAACTCTTCAGGAAGCAAAATATTGCCCCAAAACAATTGCTCCCACTCTATTAGTATAACTGTGGAGAGAAGACCAATTATAAGAGCATGTTTCCTTTCTTCACTATAAAGCACTTTCTGAATTTCTATACATAACCTGCTTTCCAGGGTAAAGATAAGTATTTTACATTGTCATACTTCATGAAGGATACATGATCCCCCCAAATTGTCAGACTGTCTCTGTACTCCTCACCAGTTGTATCTTCCTTGAATGCTATGACCCCAGAATGTTGATTCAATTGTATTACTTAATCCTGTTCATAGCAGATAAATAAAGATAGCAAACAATAGTCACAAATAGTAAGATCAAAAGGGTATGACTTATATGCACTGAGGTTATGTTTTTACCTGAAAGATCTTCCTTAAAGTCCATTTTTTGGTTACAGACAAAGTTGTTTAACATTTTATAGGGCCGAGCAGGCACATTTGCTTTCTCAATATGAGCTTTTCCTATTATTATGGTACAAGGAGAATTTGCATGGCCTGTACTAAATTGATTGTGAACACTGCTTGTAGGCTTCTGTAGAATAAAAGTAGAGAAATGAACAAATAAAACATAAATACATGCGTAATGTAATATAAAATAACATCGGTATATATAATCTGGTACATTAACAAGCATCTCATATTGAAATATCATACCTTTGGAGTATTAGGTCTTTTTTGCTTTTTTTCCACCTGCTTTGGAGGGCCATGTTTTACAACTTTAGTTTGTGTTTGTTTCGCACCAAGTTTTACTACATCTGCCCATGATTTTGCAACTGTCAAAGGGAAAAGATAGTGAACTTTAAAAAACTAGCACTGGGACCAGAGGTTGGCGTAATGGTTATGTCACTGAACTTCCATGTAGTCGACACGATTCGAGTCCCAGACCCGGTGGCTTAAACTCACACCGGGCACATGTGCGTGTGTGCCCAAGATCCCAAGAGAAGAGAGAAGGAATTGTGGTGTGGCCATCTCACTCTGGCAGGTGATTTCTCACCTTCTATCTATCTGTCTCTGTCTTTCTGGAGAGTATACAAGCCCTATAGGAAAAACCTCTCAAAAAAAAAAAAAAAAACAACTACCACTAATAAGAAAAATCACCTTAATATGTATTTGTCAATATGATACTAACCGATTAAGTTGGCTTCAGAAGCACCACTCCTTCTTTTGGAACAAATCATCTGTAAAATATCATGCTGACTTCTACTGATGGACGTTCTTTTTGAAGATAAGTTGCCACTCTTTCGCCCACCTCGCTTAGGAAGGTCTGTCTGCTGAGGAGATTTGCTGCTGCTAGAAGCTGGTGATGCTTTGCATGACCTACGTCTTTGATTATTTGCAACTGGAGTTTTCCCAGCATTAGGAGCTGAAGAGCTCATGAACACATTTTCTGCAGTCATTTCCAAACAAATTTCTGAAGACTCTTCTTTTCCTGAAGATTGAGGCTGTTCCTGGAAAGATTGAAATATTCCTAAGAAATCTTACCATGGATGTAAAATATCTGTGATGACTATAGAAAACCTACTCAATTAAGAATTTCAACTGTTTAAATCTTAAAGCAGAAAACATTTAAACCACTGTCAGTGAGGGATAAGGAAAAAGTGAGACTGTAACACTCATTTAAGGAAAAAGGAAGGGAATAAAAATAAATGAATCTGCATTGAAGTATTTCAGGTGGAAAGATGGAAAAAATCCTAATTGGTGAGAATCAAGTGTGCTCTGATCTCAGTCCCACCTGTGGGCATCTAAACCCCTGAGGGCTACATGGAAAGAGGGCAGCTCACATCTATTAGTCATAATGAAACAAGAAGGAGGCTGGGCATGTCCTTTGGTGTTACGAGAAAGTAAAGACTTCTAAGCCCTGTTATGAAGGTGAGCTATGGGGCCAAACTTTTCCAGAGATTAAGAAATGAGGAAGACATTACAGCATAGAAATAGGTGGTTGAAAGTTGTATTAAAATTTCCCTTTTTTTACCAACAAAATGCTTTAAAAATAGCCTCATAATTTTAAAGAGAAACAATCCTTGATATATTCAGAATCTAATTTTCTTGATATATTCAGAATCTTTCTAATTTGCTTTTACAATAACCCAAGAGTAATTATATTACTTGTAAGCATGAGTATTAGGGAACTTGTACACTAAAAGGAAAAATGTTGAGAACTGCCTCTTGTTTGGACACATCAGAACCAAAGTCAAGAATTCATATGTACCTTTTCTAGAATCCAAATAAATGATCTTTCACTTACTTAGTCTTTTTAAAACTTATTTATTAGAAAAATAAAGGTCTTAATTATATTTCTACTTGAGTCAGAATTTTGTGAGGAATATATACAGGTGTGTGAGCCATTAGTTTTGAATGAGAATACTAGCCGTCAAACTTACTTTGATGATTTTCTTTAGGACAGTTGGAGTATGTGTTACGAGTGACTTTCTTTTTGTTGGTGTTTCTCCCCTTTTGAGAGGTGTATTGGGAGGCAAGTTTTCATCAAATAATTCAGGTCTTAGGCGACCACCAAAGGACACACGTCTTCTTTTCAAAGACATTTCCTCACTTTTATCTGAAGTGAAGAATACACACATGGAAAAGGTTAAGAAAAAACCATACCAAAATATAGAACTCACTTCAAATTAGTATTAAAGACTAACCAACTGAACATTCTTCATGAAACTCAATAGAATGTTGTCACTGATATGTACAGCTCTAATTTTATAGATATCTACATTATCCCACCACTATAGGCCATTTGCAGACACAGAGCTGTGAAAACAAGATTACTACCTCAGAATACCCAGAAACCTTTTCTTTCTATAAGACAGCCCTGAAAAGTACAGGAAAATGCCAAGAAATTACCTGATATAAAGGTCTTATTTCTGCCACTTAGTATATGACTTAGGACTGTCACTTTCCTTATTTGTAACATGTAGATGAAAAGATCCACTCATGGGCACCAAGAATCAATCATGCAGAATATTGTGTGGCATAGAGTGTATAGTGTTTATAATAAATTGCTTCTAGGAGATTCTGAGAACAAAGTATAAAACCTGAGAGCTACCACTATGTTCAATGATTTCCAAGGGATTTTCAGTGATTTATTCCAAAGGATAAAATTCATGTTACAGTTGACTATAGTTTAGAATTAATCTCACATTAAAAATCAATGTTGAGGGACCAGCAGTTAGCATAATGGCTATGTCGCTGGACTCCCATGTAGTCTACCGCAGTTCGAGTCCCAGACCTGGTGCTTAAACTCACTCCAGGCACATGTGTGTGCGTGCCCAAGGTCCCGAGAGGAGAATGGAGGAGAAGGGATTGCAGCGTAGCCATCCTCCCTGGAGGGTGATTTCTTGCTTTCTGTCTCTCTGTCTCTCTCTGTCTTCTGGCGAGCGCATGCAACCTACAGCAAAATCCTCCAAAAAAAGAAAAAAATCAATGTTGATTGTTCGCCTTTCAATTTTAGGATAGATAAAAAGTGAGAATCAAATGTTTTTGGAACATCTTTTCTTAGATAGCCCTGCTATGGGGCAAGCAGGTGTCGTGGTGGTTAAGGGTGCCAGACTCCCACATAGTTGATTACAATTAGAATCTCGGACCTGGGAGCTTTCTTTCTCGCTTTCTCTCTCTCTCTGGTCAAATTGAAAATAAATGAATCAATTAAGCTAAATAAAATAATGCTTTAAAAAAAAAGTTAGCCCTGCTATATATTTCCCTAACAGCCTGCACCTCTCTTCTAGCATTCTTTGTTATAATTATCTGTCTTCAATTCGAACCTATCAGCTAAAAAAAATGAATATATCTGTCTTATCATTGTACCCTAAGTGCCAGGTAGAATCTCTACCACAGGGCTAGTCATTATTGATTGAAGATCTCATTAATTCATATCTACATATAGGCAAGAGGTAATTTTTAGAGAAAGTAAATTTACAGTTAAATAAAATTACAAATGTAGTCACAGGAGTTACTGATATCAACTAAACTAAGACTAGATAATCCAGAAAAAAACAGTTGTTATAATACCCAATTTCTCAGGCTTTCTGAGACTCCTTTTGAATCTTCCTCCCAACTTGAGCAAGCCAACGAGTTTAAAAAAAAAAAAAGGCTGATTTTTATTTCTATAGGTGCAACTTCCACATTTATAGGAACATTATCTTATTTTTATAGGGTGATTTTCTGATTTATTGCCAGAATTGGTAGCATCTTCAATTTTAGTTGGTGTTTGATTTCTAGATAAAAGCTTCCTAAGAGTAATTGTTTTATCACCTGCCTTGAAGACTTCACTTTTATCTAGGTTCACAGATTCTCTTCCACCAATATACACAGGTCTTCATTCTTATGTTTTGGCAGAGAATTTTTGGTGTTATGAAGAGTGTACTCAGTTCTTCATTTTGGTTGTCTCACAAAGAAAAATGCTAGAATTCCTGGCCTCTTTGGAAGTCTGAAAAATTCCTCATTACTTTCCTTTTCCTCATTCTGAATCATTTCTTATTCAGGTGAAGCAGGATCTGCTTTAATGTGCATGCTTCTACCAGATTTGAGACTTGATTTACATGAGACAATTGTTGGATCTCCAACTGTAAACCATAGATACTTTTTCTTTTTTGGTTGAGTAATCAGTTCATGATCCTAATTTTTAATAGTATTGAACATTTTTTTGTCGTGATTTTGCATCCAAATCTCCCTTCATTAATTGTTTCCTAAAGGGAGATTCAGGAGGGTTTTTTCTTTGTTGTTGTTGTTTTTTGTCACTGTCAAGAAAGGAGACTTTAATTCTGCATAACAATGTACTACCTGTACCCTAGAATTCTCATTAAAATTACTAGGACTGAGATTTCTGTCATTATGTCCAGGATGTTCTGAGGAAGGAGCAACATTAGGTATCTGCTGGACAACATTGTCTTTTGAGACATCTTAGGTACTACTGTCTCCTTTTACATTCTTAACATAGCAGAGGATTTCTTGAAACATTTCCTTCAGTGATTTTTGAATGGGTATTGGAATCTTGTTCTTCCTCATCTTGGCAATGAATAATGAAATAAGAAACAGAACTTCAATATTTTCTCAATAATTAATACTTGCAGAATTATTTTAATTGTTTCTAATTTTCATAATCTATTTTTTTAAATTACTCTACAAATTATTTAATGTATAAACATTAAGTCTTTTGGTACTAGTATTATCATCTAAATAAATCACATTAGCCAATATCCAGTATGGGATAACATATGCTACCAAGCTACTAAGAATTCGGTTGACAATTTAAAAAGCAATTACTTAAGACACTTGTCTATGCAGAATACACATTAATCACTAGGAAAAAAAAGTTAATTCAGGTATCTGCCATATTTGACATGTTACATAAACCTCTTAGGATTTTTGACAGCCTAGCTATATAATACTTGTGATCTGAACTGTGTTATGATCTTGTAGGTTCCCAGAACAAAACTAAACCATTACTAACCAGGGCCAGAAGACAAGCTCAATCTTGAGACACGATGTGATGGTTCCTATAAATTACAAAAATTGAAACAGTTATCACTTTGATGCTTTTCTAAATATTGATAGTCATAACAATAAAAACATTCTATTGATTATCTTCTTTACCAAACCTGCTCCTATGACTTTTAGAAACTATAGGACATAGGCCCAAATCATTTGGGAATTACTGATCATGATAGGACTTCTTCACTGACTTTTAAAAGAATACTACATAGTGCTCTTTTCGTCCCTGGCTGCTTGAGGATATACCGCTATCATGAATGACACAGTAACTATCCGAACCAGAAAATTCATGACCAACCGACTACTTCAGAGGAAACAAATGGTCATTGATGTCCTTCACCCCAGGAAGACAACAGTAGCTAAGACAGAAATTCAGGAGAAACTAGCAAAGATGCACAAGACCACACCAGATGTCGTCTTTGTGTTTGGGTTCAGAACCCATTTTGGTGGTGGCAAGACAACTGGCTTTGGCATGATTTACAATTCTTTGGATTATGCAAAGAAAAATGAGCCCAAACGTAGACTTGCAAGACATGGCCTTTATGAGAAGAAAAAGACGTCAAGAAAACAGCAAAAGGAACGCAAGAACAGAATGAAGAAAGTCAGGGGGACTGCAAAGGCCAATGTTGGTGCTGGCAAAAGTGAGCTGGAGATTGGAAAATAGTCGAAGGAGTAAAGATTCTGCAATGACTATCTGTGGTGATTGTGTGGATTTTTCATGAGAGGATTAATAAACTAAAAAATTTAAAAAAAAAAGAATACTATATAATGATGATTTCATATGAAACAAATTCCAGGCTTAAAATTATTTAAATCAAACCTCAGTGATTTTTTTTTTATAACTTCCTTGAAGTTACTTCCCAACATCATACAAAAAGAATAACCAACCTAAAATTAACATCACATCACCTCTCTAAAGACTGATAACCCACCATAAGCACAGGTTTATTGACTTTATAGTTAGTTATATAATAAATTTGCTACAGGACCTGTTGGTAAATTGAGGCTTTACTTAGCATGAGTGCCCTTTTGGCTGGCAGATATTTAAGGTCACCTGATAGCTTAGAAAAGTTAAGGAACAAGAAAACACAGTATGTCCATAGGCACTGCAACCTCAGAGTCTCTGAATCAGACTTAGCACTCCTACTTGGTTCCCCATGTATAGTGCCTTCACTTTGATTTTTATAGAATTTTCTAAGGGGAAAGAAAAAAATAACACATACATAAGATATAATTTCTGATGTTTAAAAAGAGAAAGGTATATCATTTGGATTAAGAAAAATACAGGCCAAGTAGAGCCACAGCAGTGATGCAACTAGACCACATATAAAAGTCCTGAGTAAGTGCCCCAGAACCTCCCTGTGCATGCTCTGCACATACCCATGAACCACACAGGCTGAGACTAGGGCTAGATCATGGCACGGAGGCCCTGTTGGAGGTGCCTGCTCTCTATCTCATATGAAAAAAAAACAAACATTTTGGGCCAGCTTTGCAGTTCAGAGGTTAAGGAAGCCAGATCCCACCTGATTAACAGCAGTTCGAATCTCAGCCCTAGCAACTTGAAAATGTGCCAGGTGTATTTGTGTGTTCATGCCCCAAATCCTGACAGATGGAGAAATGAAGGAGGGATTGCAATGTGGTTACACCTCATTGTGGAGTGCTTTCTTTCTCTCTCTCAATCTCTATAGACAGCTTTCATTAAAAGAACTAATAAGCACTAGGCTAAACATTAAGGTTGCTTCTCCAGTTAGAAGCAATACTTAACATAGCAGAGATCATGATATTGAAGGGCTTATTTGCTAATTTCAGGTGTGCCTAGGATAAGTCTCCTTAGCCAAGGAATTCTAACTAGCTCAGATGAGAGTAGCTCAGTAGCATCCTAAAGTATAGAAAAGATAGAAATTCTTAGTGCTTATTCTAAATTTACTCAATTCTACAAAATTTTCAAGAATGTGACTAGAACTATTTCAATAAGCTATACTGCTGGAACACCTGTTCTGTATTGATATACTGAATAGAATTCTCTCACATAGCAAAGCAATTACTGTTTCAGTTTCCTAAGTCATCTATCAAAATTGGGATGCATATTTGGCATTCATAATTTTCTTAATGTGATTATTTCAAACACATAAATGAGTGGATGAGTATAAAAGACTAAGAGATAAAATGAAAAAACACAAAGAAAAAAATTTTTAAGTACTACCAAAGGCAAAGGATTTTCTTTTCTTAATTTCAAATGTCTTGATATCTAACATTGCTTCTCAAACTATGTATGTGATTGATGAACTTTTTATTTCCAATCAAATATATCTAATTACATAATATGGTTCCCAATTTTACTTCTATGTGTTGGAGTGAACTAACCAAGGGCTTGCAAACAAATAATATATTCATATTCAAATAAGTAGGCTTTAGGCCAAAAATGTAAAATCAACTCTTTTTTAACAACAAAAGAGAAGTATCATTTCAGATTATTTTAATATGTCTAAATTAAGCTTACTTTAAAATCTTAGTTACATTTTTGTAGAGTAATCATTATGTCATCCTCCTTTGTGGCTAATTTAAAGTGAGAAATCATTCATCAAATGCATATAAAGGAGCCAGCAGGTGGCGTGGTGATTAGGGCATTGGACTTCCACATAGCTGACTGCAATTCAAGTCCAGGACCTGGTGGCTTGCTTTTGCACTTTCCCTCTCTTTCTCTGCCTCTTTATGGTGAATGCATGTGCCCTATAGCAAATTTAAAAATAATTGGGACCTTGGGGACCAGCAGGTGGTGTGGACAGGTGCTGAACAATCCCACATGGAGAATGATGGTTCAAGTCCCTGACCTGGTGGCTTGTTTTCTCACTTTCTCTCTCTCTGGTCAAATAATAATAATAATAATAATAATGAATAAATAAAATTAAATAAATAATTCTTTTAACAAAATTGGGACCAACAGATGGCATAATGGTTATGTCACTGAACTCCCACAGTCAAACACGATTCAAGTCCCAGACCTGGTTGCTTAAAATTCACACCGGGTGTGTTTGCATGTGTACCCAAAATCCCTAGAGGAAATGAAGAAGGGACTGTGGCATGGTCATCCCTGCTGGGCAGTAATTTCTTGCTTTCTGTCTCTCCAGCTAGTACATGCACCCTTTAACAAAAATCTCTCTCTAAAAAAATAAAATAAAATAAAATAATCATAATAAATAAGATTAAATAAATAATTCTTTAAAAAGTATATAAATAATTTTGTATCATTAAAAATCATCAGAGGCCCAATTTGAATAATATTTCCCATTACCTGTTCACATATTTTTCCAGGAAATTCAACTGAGTTTCTTCCATTCTGACAATTTTCATTTTCATACCTGCAGTGCATAGAAACATAGATCCAGATTAAAGATTGTAACCTATGACTAAACTCTCCAACTTGGTCATTTCCAAAAAATCAAGGAACAAACATACATCAGGCTTTGTTCAAGATATTATTGTATACTACGTAGAAATAAATTTAGAGTTAGAAAAATGTTTTACAGGGAACCAGCAGGTGGCATGGTGGTTAAGGTGCTGGACACTCCCAAATGGCTGACCACGGTTCAAATCCCAGACCTGGTGGCTTGCTTTTCTTACTGCCCCACGCCCCATGTCTCTCTATGTCAAATTAAAAATAATGAATAAATAAAATTAAATAATGCTAAAAAAATAAAAATGTTTTACTTTAGAAACTAACATAAGTTCCTCAAGTTTCTTTTGGAGCACCATTGTCAGATATTAGAAACACATTAACTTTTTTGATCGCTTGCTAGCCTGGTTATGACTCAACATTTCTGGTCACTTTCTATATAAGCACCTATTGCACATGAGAGCATAATCAGGTTTCCTCTAGTTTATGTTAATAGAAGTCACTTGATGGCTTAGAAGGTCATTCAGCAAACCTGATGACAACTAGCTCTTTAATTACACTGGGAGGTCACAAAACTCAAGGCTATATACAAAGCTATATTTTTACTACGAGCTATATTTTAGAATATTGTGATCACTCCAGCTTTACCATTTACTCAATCTGTGGCTGAACAAGACAGGCATAACTTAGGAAGGCTTCATTAGGCAGCATAAATCACTATTCTGATAGGCCTCAGGGATCAATTCATAGAAGAAATCCCTTATTTTGCACAATGAAAATTTTGGTACTTCAGTGAAATGGTCTGATTTGAATTAAAATGTCACATAAGTAAGTCCTGAAGTAAAATCTGAAGGCATCTTTTTTCTCAAAGTACAGTGTTCTGGGTCAAGTCCCTCTTCCTGATTAGGATTTTCTAATCTTTGTTGAGTGTCTTTAATCGTATCAATCAAAATTTGAACTACATCCCATTTTGGAGAAAATTATTTCATGTTTGTTCTAGATAAAATAATTCCTACTTTCAAGCCTATATTCAATGAGAATATCCCTTAAAAATAAAAGCAACTCAGAAGAAGCACTGTAGAAGATATGATCAGGGAATTCAAGTGATACATTAGAAAAATCTATTTAATACAGATGAAAGCAGTAATGAAGGCAGAGCTCCATTTAGCTGAGTGGACTTGAAAGTGATCCAACTATGTGCTATCTATAAGAGATACAATATAGATTCATAGACAAAAATAGGCTGGAAGTAAAAGCATGGGAAAAGATATACTATGCAAACAGCAACCAAAAAGGAGCTGGAGATCCTATACTACCATGAGATAAAACAGGCTTAAAACAAACATTGTTCATAGAGACAAAGTACATTTTATAATGATAAAGGGATCAATCCATCAAGAAAATATTCCAATTAGAAACAAAATTCAAGACCAGCACAGTGATACAGTGGTACTGCAACGCTCTTCAATCCTGAGACCCCATGGGAAGCCCCAGGTTTGTATCCTAAAGTCTCCCTATACAGGTTGGGTACAGTGTATGCCCATGATCAGCTGTCTGGAGCTGGGATAGGATTGCAGTATGAAGACCCTGTCGGGGATGCATGCCTCTTGTCTCCCTCTCTCATAGAAGAAATAAATAAACTAAGAAAAAAATTCACCTGATAGTGTGTTCCAAGAGACAATTTAAACCATAAGGTTTATAAAACATTGAAATTAAGAAGGTAGATTAAATTACACTGCACAAACACTAATCAAAAAGAAATTCATCTATATTTATCATCCAAAGGAAGCATTAAGGCAAACAATATTACTTAAGGTAGACGATATTTTTAAATGATAGAGTTCTATAAACTAAGAAGACATAACTGTAAATCTGTATTGCACAGTATAGACTCAAAATGTATATAACAAAAATAGGGGGAAAAAGAAAGAAAGAAAGGGAAGAAAAAATAAATAAATCCTCAAGTGAGAGATTTCAGCACATCTTAAGAGTAACTAATAAGCAGGGGAAAATTACTAAGATATGAACCTGACACAGATAGCTAATACCTCTGTTCTACACATATATACTCTCTCTATATTTTATACTGCATCAAAGAGCTGTACTACAATACACATTGTTTTCCAACACAAAAGAGAGATTAGTAAAAAAATTAACTATACACAATCACACAGCAAGCATCAGCTCATTTCAAAACCTGGAAATTATTCAAATGTCCATCCAGAATTAATAAATTGGATATATTATGTATATTATGGTGCATTCTTTTTGCAACTAAGTACTTACACAGTGAGAAGGAGCAAACAACAAAGACATCCAAAGTGCTGTGAATCTCACACACATAAGAGGAGAATTCAGCTACAAATACATACACTATTTTGTTATGGAGATTCATAAAGACAGACAAACTGTAGTTTAGAGATCCATGCTTAGGTAGTAAAACTCCAAAAACTTTGATATCATAAAAGTCACATGGTAGTTTACTTGGTGAGGGAAAGAAGAGATCAGAAGACTGCATGAAAAATGACGTAGGTGGTGTATTAGTTTGCTAGGACTATCATAATAATACCACAAACTGGGTGTCTTAAACAGCAAATATTTACTTCTCACACTCCTGGAGGCTGGAAGTCCAAGATCAGGGTGTCTGAAGGGTTGTTTTTCTCTCTGCCTCTCTCCTTGGCTTGCAAATTGCTGCCTTCTTGCTGCCTCTTCTCATGGACTTTCCTCTGTGCATCTGCTATCCTGGTGTGTCTCTGTGTCCTAATCTCCACTTATGATAATGACACCAGTCACTGGATTACAGCCCACCCTCATAGCCTGAATATATTTTGTGTAATTATCTCTTTAAAGATCCTCTCTCAAAAGACATCACATTCTAAGGAACTGGGGTTTAGAAACTGAAAATATTAATCTCAGGGCAGTGTAATTCAGTACTTAACAGGTAGTAATCACAAAGGTATTTATGTCATGAAAAATTGACCTATATATCTCTTATTATTTCTTTATTTATGAATAAATTTTGCTTTAAAATGGAAAAAAGAAACAATAAAATACACAATTTCATAGTAGCCACAAGAAAAAAAACTGAAGCCACTCTCTTCTGCGTAATTATGTATACTTAAATCCTTAAATTTCACTTGAGATCAATTTATCATTCATTCTATTGGGCTGTGGAAAAGTCATGAGGTATTTTTGCATAGAAAAACAGAAAAATATGTCATGACCTTTCTGACAACTCAATAGATCCATACACTTTTAGATTAAGACTAGTGTTAACAATGAAAACATGAAATACTCTGACATTCATCGACACTAAAAAGCATCAAAGAGGGGCCAGCAGGTGATGTAGGGGATAAGGATTTGGATTCCTACATGGTCAACCATGGTGTGAGCCCTTGACCCAACAGCTTGAAAATAACATAGAGTACATGTGTGTGCTAGCCCAAAATGATGAGAGGAGAATGGAAGAAAAGGGACTGTGTTGGGGGCAACTCCCCTGAGGGGTGATTTCTCACTTTCTTCCTCTATGTCTTTCTCTGGTGAATGCATGTACCTCATGGAAAAAACCTTAAAAGAAGAAGAATTAAAAAAAAACAAAAACCCAAGAATCAAAAAACCAGTCATGGTGATGATGGCACAGGAAGTAGAGGAGGCTGCAATTACACAATACTGGTATCATATGATCAGCCCAGATTCAAATCCATCCCAGGTCAACCTTAACACAACAACTAGACACATGAGCACCTGTGAACCTGGCTGGTTGGGAGACTGGGGAGAGGATTATGGCAAGATGAGACCCTATCAGGAGTACCTGTCACTCTCTGTGTCATGAAAAAAATACATAAACTTGTAGGAAAAAAGGGAGGAAATGGATTACAGTTGAACTGTGACACTAGTTAATGATAACTCAGAAGGTGCTATTTATTGTTAGTCTAATTAGTTTTTTACCTACCTGAAAGATCGATCAACAATAGTTATTATATCGCCATGCTTTAGTTGTACAGGTTCATCAATAGGAGATCCATTTACCTGTGTTGGATTTGTAGAACTGAAATTATGCAATATTGCCTATACATGAAAAGAAGGGGAGAAATATGTAACAAATGAATATAAAAAGTGAACTGAAGAGTTTTTAAAATCTTCTTATAAAAACTCACTCACCTCCTGCTTATTCATTTCAATTTTGCAGTGCTGTTTTGACACGACAGGAAGCTGGATACGGATATCACATTCATTACCCCTTAATACAAAAAAAAAAAAAAAGGATTTTTGTTCTTGAAACTTTCTAAATTAACTCAATCTTTTTTTTGGGGGGGGAGAGGTTTTTCCTATAGTGCACGTGCGCTCACCAGACAGAGACAGAGCAACAGAAAGCGAGATAGCCATGCTGTAATCCCTTCTCCTCCATTCTTCTCTCAGGATCTTGGGCACGCACACACACGTGTCTGGCATGAGTTTAAGACAACCGGTCCCAGGACTCAAACCACGGTTGGCTACATGGGAGTCCAGTGACACAGCCATTACGCCAACTGCTGGTCCCAAATTATCTCAATCTTTCAAAATAAAACAAAATTTGTGACCAATCAGTGGCATGATGGTTAAGGAACTGGATCTCACAGGCTGACCATGGGTTTGAGTCCTAGATCCTGTGGCTTGAAAAACATACTGGGTTCAAGTGTGCCCAAAATCCTGAAAGGAGGGAGAAGTAGAGTAAAAGGGATTAAGGCACGACCATCTCCCCATAGAGGAGCTTTCTCACTTTCCTCCTCTCTCTCCAATAACTACAAAATATACATTCTTCTCCTAAGTATATGAGCTGTTCCATGGGACAGCCCGTATGTTAGGTCACACACACACACACACACACACACACACACACACAATCTCAAAAATTTTATAAAACAGAAATCATATCAAGTATCTTTGCTGACCACAATAAACTAAAACTAGAAATCACTAACAGTAGGGAAAATTGAAAAACAACACACGCAGGTGGCACAGTGGTTAAGGTGCTAAGACTCCCACAATGGCCAACCACGGTTCAAGTCTCAGACCTGGCGGCTTGCTTTCTCACTTTCTCTTTCTCTCTCTCTATTTCTCTCTGGTCAAATAATAACAACAAATAAATTAATTCTCTTTTTAAAAAAGAAAGAAAATCATATAAATGGAAAAAAATAAATAATATGGTCTTGGATGACTTAGGTTAAAGAAATCAAGATGGAAACTTAAAAATTTATGAAAATGGAAACACAGCATACCAAAACCTATGAGGTACAGCAAAAGCAGTTCTAAAAGGAGTTTATGGCAATCAATGCTTCATTAAAAAAAAAAAAAAGAAAAAAGAAAAGAAAAGAAAAATTCAAATAAACTATAATCAATCACCTCAGGAAATATGGGGGAAAAAAAACACTAATCCCAAAATTAGCAGAAGAAATAATAAACATCAGAAAAGGAAAAAGCAAATTGAGATTAAAAAATACAAAAGGTCAATGGAAAAAAAATGTTTTATGAAATGATAAACAAAATTGACTAACCAATAGCTAGACTAAGAAAAAACTAAAGCCCAAATAAATAAAATCAGATATAAAAAAGTAGTCATTACCACTGATACTCAGAAACACAAAAGATAATTATAGACTGTTGTGAACGACTGCACACCAAGAAACTGAAAAATCTACACAAAATGGATAAATTCTGACACATACAACCCAAGATGGAACCAGGAAGAACTAGAAAACATGAAATGGACCATTAACAAGCAATGAGTCCAAATCAGTAATAAAAAATCTCTCATCAAGGAAAAGCCCAGGACCAAATGATTATACAACAAATACTACAAAATATTTAAAGAACTAATTACAATACTCTTCAAGCAATTCCAAAAAATTAAAGTGAAGGAACCCTCCCAAACTCATTCTACAAGGCCAGTATTACCATGTTACCAAAAAAAAAAAAAAAAACAAACAAAAAAAAAAACCAAAAAAAAAAACACTACACACCATTATCCCTAATGAACACAGACACAAAAATCATCAATAAAATACAAGCAAATTGACTCAAACAGCACATCAAAAAGGTTGTACAGCATGACTAAGTGGGTTTTATCCAAAGGATGCAAGGATGGCTCTACATATACAAATCCATAAATGTCAACAAAACAAAGGACAAAAGCTGTATAAAAGCTGAATGATCATCTCAATGGATTTTGTCATATTTGACAAAATATGACATAATTTTATGACAAAGACACTCAACAAATTAGGGAAGAAGGAATATACCTGAACACAGTAGAGGCTATATATAACACAAACCTAACATCATACCACATGGGGAAAAGCTGGAAGATTTTTTTCTATGAACTGGAAAAAGACAAGGATGTCTGTTTTTATCATTCTTATTCAACATGGTTCTGCAAGTCTTATCCAGAGCAATTAGGCAAGAGAAAGACATAAAGAACATCTAAATTGTAAAGAAGGAAGTCAAATTGTCCTTGTTCGCAGATACTATCTTATATATAGAAAACCATAAAAATTCCAGAAAAAAAACCTCTTAGAACTGATAAGTGAATTCAGTAAAATTGCAGGATGCAAAATCAAAATACAAAATTAGCATTTGTTACAGATATTAAAATAGCAGAAAAAGAATTATAAAAAGCAACCCTATTTACAATAGTTAGAAGAAAAATAAAATATCTAGGGATGCATTTTCATCAAGGAGGTTAAACATCTCTATAATTAAAAACTTTAAACCACTGATGAAAGAGACTGAAGACACACACACACTCACACACAAATGGAAAGGCATCCCATATTCATGGATTGAAAGAATAAATATTGTTAAAAGTGTCCATACTACAAAACATGACCTACAAATTTAATGCAATATCTATCAAAATACCAACAATAGTCTTTATAGAAATAAAAAGAACAATTATAAAATTTAGAATCATTAAAGACCATAAATAACCAAAGCAACACTAAACCAAAGGAATGGAACTGAAGGCACCATATTAGCAGTTTTCAACATAGACTATAAAGCTAAAGTAATTAAAAACAAAACAAAACAAACAAACAAAAAACATGGTACTGGGAAGAACAAAAACACATAGACCAATGTAATGGAACAGAGAACCCAAAAATAAATTCACATATTTTGCCAGCTGATTTTCAACAAAGGTGTCAAGAACATTTATGAAAAAAAGGGCTGTCTTTAATAAATAGTACTGGGAAAACTGGATATCTATCTATATAACAATGAAGTTAGACCCATATCTCTCGCTACATACAAAAATAAACTCCAAATGGATTAAAGACTCAAATGTAGAACCTAAAACTATGAAGCCACTAGAAGAAAACAAAAGAGTGGTATGGGCAAAAAATTCATGAACAAAACATCAAAAGCACAGGCAATAAAAGCATAAATAGACAAATGGGTTATATCAAGCTACGAAACTTTGCCCAACAAAGGAAATCATTAACAGAGTGAAGAGACAACCCACAGAATGGGAGAAAATATCAATCAAAGGGTTAATAACCAAAATATACAAGGAACTCAACAGTTCAGCAGTGAAAAAATGAGCAAAAAACTCAAAACAGTTCTCAACAGAAAATATATAAATGGCCAAAAAAAAGAAAAAAAATTAAACATCACTAATCATTAGGGTCAAAACACAATGAGATAACATCTTACCTCAATTAGGAAGGCTACTATCAATATGCCCTCGGGCATTAAATACATACATACATAAAATAAAATGGAATACTATTTACCGATTGAAAAGGATGAACTTCTGTCTTTTGAGGTTAGACAGGTGAGCCTGGAGGATATTATATTAAATGAAATAGACAAGACACCTATGGTAAGAGAAAACCACATTTCCCCCCACATGTGGAAACTGAAAAAAATTAAAGTGATAGAGAATGACTATTGCAGGCTGGAAGGGTTAGGGAGAGAGCGAGAATAGGAAATGTTGATTAATGGCAACAAAATTACAGGTAGATAAGAAATCATTTATAGTGTTAGTAGGGAGAATAAAGTTGACAAAAAGCTTCTCTCAGACTGACTTAAAAATTTTTGAATGTTCCTAATACAAAACAATGTCAAATGGTTGATATAATCAATACACCAATTACCCTGATTTAATCATTATATGTCATATTCATGGAAAAATCACATTGTACCACCTCAAATATGTACAATTATTATGCTGATAACATTTTTTTAAAAAATAGAAAATGGGGACCAGCAGGTGGTATGGTGGTTAAGGTGCTAGACACTCCCACAAGGCTGACCATGGTTCGAGTCCTGGACCTGGTGGCTTGCTTTCCCACTATCTCTCTCTCTTGTAAAATTAAAATAAATGAATGTGTAAATAAAATTAAATAAATAATTATTTTAAAAATAGAAAATAATGAAACACAAACTAAATTATCTTTTGCATAAACAGATATAAATCAGAAATTAAAAGTACTTTATATCATTATGGAAAATCACTATTTTAAATATTCTACTTTTAAAAAGTTTATGTATGTTTGTATGTAATGTCATGTATGTTTAAAGGTCTAATCATCTTCCAACGTGTTGTATTTCATACTAGCACCGCTCTGTGCGTCCATTTCTCCATATACAAAAACAGAGATTAGCACCTACATCATGGTGTTCAAACAATTTAATGAGTTGTACAGGTTACTGCCTTACTTGGCATGTAGTAAAAGATCACTAGGTAACCTTTTAATCGTTTTAAAAATACAATATACTGTATTGATGGACATATTTAAAAGTCTAACATTAAAAATCTAATCTGCATTGTGATTAAGGTATTTCCATCTTTCTAGGATAAAACGTCCACGCGCGGGGCTCACCTTCCAAACAAGCAGGTGCTGAGACTCAGTGGAAAGTGTGGACCATCCACCCCGCTCCTTTTGATGGTAACGAGACGTCTCGTACGTCCCATTTTCTAAACAAGATGTTGAATAGACTCCGTTTAGGAAGGCTGTTCCAAAAGGTTTGCAGAAGCGAACTTAAAAGCCACTGCAAAAAAAAGGTGGAAGTTACTCTGAAAGCAAAGAAACTACATACTGACTTTTAAGTGTACAAACCGGGTCGCCGCCAAGGCCTACCTTAAAGTGACCTGGGGGAACCCCAGCTAAGTCCAGGCCTGCACCCCAGGGGGCCCTTAGCACCTGGCGCCGCAGAATCCCGCGGCCAAGTCGCTTACGCCGCCGGAGCCCGGGCCGAGAGCTTCCACCGAGACCCCTCTCCGGGGCCCAGGAGGAGACAAACCAAGGCTGCGCTTCCAGCTCCTGACTCCACCGAGCCCCAGGGATCCACGTCCAACCCCGTCTCCCGCCCCGGGGATCCGCGCCCACCCCCGTCCCCCGACAGTCGCCCGCCCGCTGAGGCATAGCGGCGGGCGCTCACCTTGACGATTCGGAACACACGGTCTTCACTCGAGTCGCTGCTTCTACCGCGTCCCAGAAGTCCGCAACAGAAGCCGGTGCCCCCGCAGCCCACCGAAAACCGCCCGGCCGGCAGCGCCCGCCGCGCGCCACAAAGACCCGGACGCCGTCCGCGGGGTCCGCGCTCGCTCCGTCCCGGCCCACAGACCCGGCGCGGTGACCCGGCAGCCCGGCGGGCTCAGTCCCAGGATGCCCCGGGTGAGCGGCCCGCGCGCGGAAGGCCTCCCGCCGCGTCCGCCAAATTCAAACGAAAATGGCATTCAAATTATGGCGCTAAACGCTGCGATTGGACGGGATAGCGCGACCGGCGACCAATAGGAAGGTCGAGAGACGGTGTGGGCGGGGCAGGAGGCAGGGAAGCACGCTCCGCTGGGATCTGCTGGCGTATGAAAGGGAAAAAAAAAAAAATCGTTTTCTCCATACTGAGGAAAACATAAAAAGAGTAGAAATGGAACATATTCCCACTGCCGAAATTACCCCTCTTGGTTTTCTTTCTCTTAAAAATCAAATACATGAAATGCTGTATGCTGTTCATTGCTAGAGGCTTTAAATTAAAAAAAAAACCTTAAAGCCTCGCTCGCTCTCCAGCCCCTACATCTAGCCAAATACCACTAATTACGTTAAGTAGTTTCTTGTGATTTTTTTTTCCAGTTATGTATGTGGGCCCACGTGGTGTGAAGTGAATGGAGCCCGAACATGCCTTGGTGAAGCACACCACATCCCACCTTCAATATCTCACTTCTCTCCAGTTCACTCACACCTTTTGGCATTTGGCTTCATAGATCAGGAACAGGATTCACACGGGTGTCGGGGACCCTGAGGGTCTCCACAATCCTTTCAAGAGGTCCATGAAGTCAAAATCGTGTCTGTAATGACTCTTTTTCAAAAACAACAAAGAAGATCATAATATACTTATGGATCTACACTTCATAATTTGTACTTCATAAATTGAGGCTATTTCCATTGAGCATATCCTCCCCCTTTTAATTCTGTTTGAAGGCTGCAGAGTATTCACTTCAGGAACTCCTAATCATTGCTAGTGCTGCATACTTAGGTTTACAAAGTTCTGAGAATAGAAAAAATATTCTCCAAATTAAAAAACCTTGTGCATGATAACTTGGATGAATCCTATAATAATGGTGCACAAGATTTCATCCTAGGACCACCTGCATGGTGTGGGGCAGGAGATTTCTGTGGGCTCACTTGGAGTAAGGTGAATGGAGCCTAACCATGCCTTTGGTGAACCCTCACCTCCCTCCTCACCACTTCTCACCTACCTGCAGCTCGCCTACATTTTGTGGCTTTTGGTTTCGTTCCTCAGGAGCAGCTATTCTTACAGGTTGGTGGGACTCCTGAAGGTCTCTACAATCCTTTCACATGGTCCATGAAATCAAAAAGTCATCTTCTATTAGCTCGGTAAAAAAAAAAAAAAAAAAGAAAAAGAAAAGAAAAGAAAGAAAGAAACAACACTTTTACTTTTCTTTATTTTTTGTTTTGAATGCTATAGGGATTCTTTTGTTGTTTTGAATGATATAATTTTGTTATTTTTTGTTTTGAGTAATAGTTTTTTAATAAAAATGAGTTATTTGCCCATGACATGAGTGAGTTCATTATTTTAAATGAATTAGTAAATAATACTTTTTAATTTCTTCCATAGTAAGTATAGATAGATATTACTCACATTAATAAAAATTCTCAGTAGTTCTCAATATTTTTTAAGACTGCACAGGGATCACCAGACCTAAAACTTTGAGCCCATCTGCTAAATATAAAGCAACAAAGAAATAAGCTACCTATGGGAGTACAGAACCCTGAGGAAGGCAATGGAAATGTTTAGGACAACCAACTCTAAACTCTATGGAGCAGGACAGATGAAGATCCTGTAAATTAAAAGCAAGAATACTATACACTTTTTTGGGGGGGGACATTAGTTTCCATTTTCTACCCCATTAAACAATCAAACAAAGCTCACCTCTGCATAACTTCATAAAATCCAACTTTTGTCCCTTTAATTACCGCTTGTCTTCAGGAACAGTTCTTCCAGGCTCACAGAGACAGCCCAATCAGGAGTAGGAGGTGCTAGAATACCCACTCAATGATTTTACAAACTCTCTGGAGTATATACTAAGAATTATGAAGACAGAGCAGGAACATGGCCATACTGGTGAAACTTAAATCTGTAACAACCTATTTTTAAAATGTTTTATATAGACTTCTGTAGCAAAACTTGTTGAGTTTTAAGATAGGCCCACAAGCCGAGATTTTGTTAGGAATACCACTTGCACTACCATGAGGAAAACCCTCTGCGTCCTTTTGCCAAGCTGACTTCTGGTTCTAAAGTTCCTCTTCTAAAGCATGTCAGAGAAAGGAGATTTTGCAGTTAGAGCACGAGGGGAACAAGATGGCATGAAAAGCCTGTTGAGAGGGTATGAGAATTTGGGAAGTTTTTGTCCCTGACTTACCAAGTGTCATTGCCCTGAATACAGGTGTATTTTTCTTCAAACTTTAGAAACAAACAGCTATGGGACTGGCAGTTAGCATAATGGCTATGTCACTGGTCTCCCATGTAGTCGCATGTGTTTTGAGTCCCAGACCCGATAGCTTAAATTCACGCTGGGCGTGTCTGTGTCCCTGCCCAAAACCCCTAGAGGGGAATGAAGGAGAAGGGCTTGTGGCATGGCCATTCTCCCTGGGGGGTGATTTTTCTCTTTCTGTCTCTCTCTCTCTCTGTCTTTCTGGAAAGCACATGCGCCCTATAGCAAAAACCTCTCGAAAAAATAATAAATAGACAAGCAGCTATTTAGGGAGTTGAACCATCAACTAAATAACATGTTTTCTAGCATGTATCCATAGGATCTGTTCAGTGGTGTATGTAAGAATCATCTATACTAGGAACAACAGAAGACACCTTCAGAGTAGCACGCTGTTTCCACTTTTACAAGGACACACGGACCTGTGCCAAATGAGGGTAAAATATATTCACCTCCCCTATCTCACACTCACCCTGGACCTGCTCCCATTCAGAAAACGAGCAGGAATAATTGAACAGTGTATACACTATTACCGTTCTCATTTGTGCTTTACAGTAATTTAGAATTTGAATAAAACATGAGGAAGTATGATGAGAACAATTGAACTTTTCAGAGTATCATCCTTTTGCCACAAAATAAATCTCTAAGAGGGCACATGGTCATTTGAACATATTCACTGTGTCTTTCTCTCTATGGATGTCAATGAATATCAGCCTTTAGAAGACCCTTCTTAAGGAATTCTTCCCTCATGGAATCAATGCAGGGCCTAACTTGCACTGATAGAAATCACTAAATACTATTACTCTTAAGGAAACATGGCTTCTACTTATGAAAGATCTATGAATGTGTAAGAATTCAAATATGCTTCCTTAGATTGACATGAAATCGAATTATTGACTCTTAGTACTGTATGAGAAAAAACACTAAGTTTGTACAACAACACAGTGAAGAAAATACATGAGAGTACATAATTGCGTATGTCTTAATTTCTTACAGGAGAGAATGTGGTCACTGGACTCAGAATATAGCAACAAAGCCACCTAATATTGTTCCACAAGCCTTTCAACAAGAAACTTTAAATATACTTTATATATGTGTATATGTGTGTGTGTGTATAATGTATATATAAATTC